CATGAAAAAAAAATATTTTGAAAAAAGTAAATACTTTTCGAGGTAATTAGTGTACCCACTTAAAAGAATCATCCTGTATATGACTAATTATTAACTAGGTATTTGTCAAAAGTTRAATTTTTATACATTCGAATACTAGAAGTATAGAATGATAATAATAATTTAGACATTGTAAAAATATCTAATATCTATTATCCAATAATAAATTGCATATAATTATAGTAGTAAAAAATTGAACAATTCAGTATTTACAATATATGTTATATAATTCTCCATAGTCCATCAAAATATTTTTCTTATTAGGAATCAAATATATACTAATTGTATAGTAATAATTTTTCAAATCATGAGACAAGGATAGTATTATACTATTATGCGGGTGATGTCAAGAAATAGCCAAATAATGTTGACCTCAACTAGGCTGCAATCTATTGTTTGGCAACTTCTTATTACCTAAACATGGCACTGTTTGGGTCAAGCCATAAATCATTTGATGTTATATTTCTATGTATATGATCATTTTTGGGACAACTAAAATAGTGAAATGTACTAGAAATAGTATTTTAAGTCCCAGGGGAGGAGAGTTGCCATCRCCAAGCCATCACAATAAAGTGTTTTCAATAATTAGACATCTTATTGATCTCATGCCAGTCACCTATACACATGAATACTCTAATGCAGTATGCACTGTATGTATAGTTAGTATTGAAATCTCTGGTCGTCAACTATTCATCAATGTTTTTTCAAATGTACTATATGGTAGAATTCATAGATCATGAAGAGTGAAGACTACAGGAGCACAGAATACATTACTATATTATGCTTTATCGTAACTTTCAACTGTAATAATAATTAATATAAAATGTAATGATCTAAGCAGTGAGTAGTGAACCGACTTAAGTGAACAGTGAAACAAATCTTAAATGTTGAAATCTCATTCTTCCTTAAAACTTGCACGGAGAATGGAGATTGCCAGAAAATCTCTGGCAGAGATTTTAAATTTTCTAGAAATTGCCAACAAGTGATAACAGCTAATGCCAAAAATGTCGTGTTATCACATAATAAACCACAGATTAATTCCTTAGAAGCTATGTGATAAACCTTATTATTCGGCGGACCATAATGAGTAGTTTCAGATGGGTAAATAGTAAATACCACTAAGATATTATGATGGATTGGAAATAGTGGAAACGATATTTAGCTGGATAACAATTAGCTACTGCTGGTGACTAGTGTAAATCGTGGCCACAGCATCGTCAGGCCGGATTCGACGTGATCTGCAGACTGCATTTTGCTCGAGGCTCGACAACGCGGGAACCGAAGTTGGCCATTCTGAATCGATCAAGGTTCAAGGAGGATGTAAAAACTTAAAAAGATGGTCGTATGGTYACATCCATGGTGTAGGTAAAACCCACATCGTGGTTGCAATAAGCAAAAAAGTGATTAATCATTGCCGATACGGGGTTACCTTGGGAACATCACCATGCRACTGATGGTTATACAGTGTTCCGCACGTCCAATGTTCCAATGACCAATAGTTGTCCTGCCGTCGTATTGTCGTAATCATTGAGTCTGTCTGTGTAGTTCTTGGCAAGACGTTTCTTAATGTTCATATTTATATTCCTCTATTCTGGGAAATGTAATAAATCATAAATGACTCGATTGATAATGGTCACTAAATAGTAAATAGTCAATACAGTGACAGTCTACTGGTAGTGCTTGTGCGTTCAGCCAGTCGCTAGTTGATACCTCGCGAGTGATCGGATATTTTTACTTCAGTTAAAAACAAATGTTTCTGTTTTTGTTTTAACTTAGTGTATTTCAACTCTTTCATTGATTTCAACTGTCGTAGTGTTTAAATATCTTAAATGGTYGACTTACAACGCAATTCACTGACTTCTGGCAACACGTTTTGATTTGATTTTTTCTCAACGGCTCGCAGTTAGTTACTTATCTCCAAATTGGCTATTTAGTGTTAATTTGGTGTGAACAAACATTATTGACGCTATTTTGAAGATTTTATAGGTTCAAAACACACGAAAATACAATAAATATCTATTATTTATTTATTTTACTTACTATTCAGATTATATTGGTGGAATATCAACTAAWTATATTATGGTAAGCTAAATCGTACACAAGTTTAAGTATTATATTAATATAATATCTTCTCATAAATGTTTAAGTTCCTGGTTACTGGGTACTAGTTACTATTGAGTTTAGTATAGGCTAATTGCAGAAAGCTGTCATAATAAAGTGGCTTTTCAGATTTGTGTCATGTTACACATTATCATTTTATGTTGGAAAGATAAGTATTCAGAATATTCTGAAATTTAGTTTTACCTAATGTTTTTAACCATAGTGTTCCAAATCAAACGATGATATAATTATCCGTTAAGAAAATGTCCACGCACTATTTGTTTTCTCTCTGCTCCACGCTCAACATAGACAAAACGCATAAACGCAGAATCATTTTTCCTATGTTTTAAGAGCACGCTACACAACCATTTGTTATTTCCGTCTCACAAGTGCATAACATTGCAAATTTAGGCTCAGAAGATCACGTTTAGCTCCTTTAGTTTAAAAATTAGAGTGAATCGGCCTATTATAAWATTTGATGCTAAGAACATTATCTGTGTTTGCATGTGGGTTTTTTACTATAGATCAATTTTGTAGCAAGTTATGAGTTATGAGTATATAAAAAAATGTAAATTAAAAATGCTCTTAACTCACTTAAAAACTAAGTCATCCTAAAATATCCACATAAAAACCGATAATGTTCTTACCATCAAGTTTCATAATAGGTCAATTTACTCTAATTTGTAAACTAACGGAGCTAAACGTGATTTGTTGAGCGTAAATTTTCTATATTATCCACTTGTAAGATGGCGGAGACAACAACTGATTGTGTAGTATCCACTTAAGTAATCTTAGAGTAAAATCACCTTTTACAAAAAAAATAGAGAATAATATTTTTGAGGCAATGACATCGATTTGTCTAAATATTTTCTTAAAACAATTTAAACGTCATTTAAATTTACAATATTTTTTTTGTTTATTTTGGAAGTCGAATACAAAATGAAATAGCAATAAAATATAATACTGATATGTTATTCCCTCAAAAAATTATACTCTATCTTTTTTGTAAGTTTATTTACATGTTTTTCACAATGTTACCCACTTGTAAGATGRAGACAACAAATATGCGTGTGGCGTCCCCCTAATTTGTTATTATGGTAGTTGCGGGAAGTTTACACAATTTGAATTAATCCAGATGTATTAAATCAAAAATTGAATTTACTCTGGCACCTAAGCTGCGGCTGTCACAATAACCCGGGAAATACAAATCTGAATACTTTGCTAATTATGTTAATTTAATTATTAATGTAGGTATATACTATATATATTAATAAAGTATGTATTTTATATTTACTTTATATAGATACCTAATTTTATTAAGTATAGAATAATAAAACTATTTTTTATTTTAGAATTGATGTTTATGATTCAAAATGTCAATAATCATAAAATCTGAACCTATTAGTGGAGTAGTAGAGTTGTCATCAGATGATGAAGAAACTGTATCAACACTAGCAACCATTGAAATTGAAATTCCTAATACCAGACCTACTGGACGCCCTTCAACACCAGATACACAATGTTCCATTTGTCTCGATGATTTAACGAATAAATGTCATTCAGATACATGTTGGCATTTATTCTGTTTCGAGTGTTTATTACGATGGTCAAATGTAAGTTTAGTTAATTCTTAATATTTATTAATTTTTAAAAATATGTCTATCATATTGTATCAAAAATATCTTAAATAGATATTGACTTAGTATATATAGTTTGTGTTGGAATACTAATCATTTTTTTCTCATTATAATTATGAGGGTTAAGTCATTTTTATTTGTTAAAATATTTATTTTAATTAACATTGATTATTTTCTAGGTAATTTAAATCTGTTTAAAAAGGTTAGGGTAAAAAGACTGAACTTAATAACTTAATTTAATTCACAAAAATGTCATATTTAGTGTCTGAAGTCTTTATTTAGTACAACCCAAAAAAAAACCTCATCTATACTTAATATTATAAAGCTGAAGAGTCAAAAAAGTTTGAACGTGCTAATCTCAGGAACTACTGGTTTGAATTTGAATATTATTTTTTTTTAATTGTTCATTTATTGAGAAAGTCTACAGATTAAGTCGGAACTTAAGAGTTTATAGGAAATTTATGAATTTGTTATTTAAAAAGCCGTAAAATTATTGCTGCGTATCGAAAATTATATGACACAGTGGCACGGCAGGACTAATGTACTGAATGTCTCAAGTTCAAAATAGTTTTAATGGCCCAAATTTTTTGAGCTGTTTTCACATTATTTTTTCTTTTTTGTACTTATTTCTTTTATAGTTATTTTAGTTAGCCTAGAATTAGTCGCGTCTCTGGGAAGGTTTTAATGTATAATATGTTATAATAGTTCACTGGATCAGCTTTAAATAATGTAATAATATTCAATCCGTTAAGAACTATGCCTCAGGGCCAAGAATTTTTCGTGAGAAATTAATTTTGGTGTGGGTATATACGGCTTACCTATAATATAATAAATTTTAAAAATTGTTTCATCTTAATAAAGCTAAAATTTCGAGAAAATATTATGATTGAATATAATTTTAGTCCTGTAAGATTAAGATAGGGTTAATTCACGGAAAGTTTTGAACATGACTAGCTGAGCATTAAACAACAAATTGAACAAACAGTTTGAATTATATATATACAGTAATCCCTCGTTATCCGCGGATTAAAAATCCACAGTTGGGTCGGCGAAATTAAAATAACATTTTATTAATGCATACAATGAAATTGTATCTTTACCCATACTTATAACAGATAAGCTACATAAAGTACATACCTTAAGATGTACGGTTAATTTGTTATATCTTAAAATTGTCCAGTTAACAAACATCAATTACAAATTTTTTCATCCTTCCTAATATATTATGTATGTATAAATAATTAATAAATTATATTAAAAAAATAAATAATCAAATAATTGTAAAAACTATTAACCTTTTTGTGATTTTTAAAATTAAATACAAAATATGTATAAAATAATAAAAATTAAAAATTGTATGTAAATAAAACCTAACTTCCCGTTTTACATTGCTTTATGGCCTCGTTATCCGCGTTTCCGATATCCGCACAACTTTGCCGGAACCTAACCTCCGCGGATAACAAAGGATTACAGTATATATATATATATATATATATATATATATATATAGAGAGAGAGAGAGAGAGATAGAGAGAGAAAGAGTTAGTATTTTTAACAGGAAACTAAGTGCATGGGGATCAGCTATCATAATAATGTATTTATATTTATATGATCACAATGTTTGTTTTTTTATATGCTTGTTATTTAGTCTGAAGCAACTTGTCCTTTATGTAAGAAAGGTTTCAAATCTATCCATCATTCATTTAAAGAAAGTAATGTCCATGAAACATATGATGTTCCTTCAATGGGCAGATTACCATCGTAAGAAACACATTATATTATAATTCAATATGATATTATGGTGTTTTTATTTACAATATTATTATTACTATGTTATTTTTCCTAGACCAAGAATATACATAAGACCATTTAGTGAAATGTCAGATGATATAGATAGGTAAAGTATAATTACTAGTAGTTATTTATTATTGGGTTAAGACTATCAAATATCTTTTTACTATTATTTATTTGATATTAAATTTGGAATATAAGTATCAATAATTTATATTATTTTTATTTATTTAAAAATATATTAATCTACTTATTAAAAAAATAACCTTACTCATTTAGAATTAGAGTATATTAGGTGAAACACATGCCGAGTTTGCACATGTATCCCACATACTCATATGCCTCTACCACAAATTCATAATTTATGCATTTGCTAACTAATGTGCTTTTATCCCGTATAAAGTATAGAAACAAATTATTATTTTTTTTAAGCATATTAACCTTCCAGCGGGTGTGCTGTTGTAAATGATACAACAGTTAACAGTTTTTTATTTATTTGTTTATACAACTTTTATTCTATTTTTATCTCATCGGCGGTCATGGGTATTCCTCTATAATGTTATTATCTACGTTTTAGACTACTTTTGAAGGGTTTCAGTTTTTTTAGTTTTTTTATGTAATAATAAGACGTGTTGATTTTTAATAAAACATAATTATAATAGTATTTAAATAAAAACAACTTTGTTAACGTACCTATTGTTTATTTTATTATTAGATATAATAATATGTACAACTATCACAGCATATTAGGACTTATGTAAAATTTACTACGCGCGACTACTCTTGTTTCAAATAATGGCATGCCCACTGGAAGATTAATATGAATGGCCCTAATCACCTTTTTACCCACTTRAGAAAAATCCATGTGTTATGGTTAGACAAAATGTTATTTATAACAAGAAGTCATTATAATATTAGTATTATTAATTATTATGTATAGCTTACTTATGGAAGATTAATTACTCCTAAACACCTCTTAAGTAATTGATATATGTAAAAATACTATTAATATTAAATTTGTCAAAAAATGTAATCAAACAATCAAGAATGTTTATAAAAAACTGTATATTAGTATACATCAATGGTATTCATGAAAAGGTATTAATGTATTGAAATTCCAAATCAAAAAATGTGCAATACAATTTTTAACATGTAATTTAAATATACAGCGTGTCCTGTTAGGATATACTGATTAGCCGTAGAGGGTGACTTGCCACTCGGATAAAAACCAGTTTTTTGCAATTTTATCTAAAAAAAAATATTAAAAATCATGGGATTAATGAAAGTAAAATGTTGAGAAGTCAAAATTTTCAGTAAAATAAGCCTTTGTGTATGTGAATATTATAAAAAATTAAAACAGATTCATTATATTATTCAGAAAATATTGCAATGGGCGAATCCTTGCGGGGAACCTGTATATAAAATTTTAATAATATTAGTATAATTCATGTATGATTTTAAATCCATTGAAATTATAGGGAAAATGTATTGATAAAATATTGCTGCAACACTTTGTAACATAATATTATAAAAGATAATTCAAACCCAACAATATTTTTAAATTATTTGCTCAAATACATAATGCTAAATTTCCCAAATGCCAATAGTCCCTTTTAATAACACTTATATAGGTAGCTGAATGTTATATTGTATATTAAAAATATTTGTTTCTACAAAGTATCCTTGGTACTATTATATAAAAAAAAAATCAAATTACCACAAGCATTTTATATTTTGTCTAGAATGTTCAAAATGAATTTGTTTTTGATATTTTCCGTAGAAACGAGAGAATGAGAAGTATTCTTCAGACTACATATGATGGTAATGGATTGGACTTGAACCACAATAACTCGATTCCATTCATGGAAGAGTTATCTGGGAACTACCCACGTCCTAATTTACAAAGGCCTCTCATTGGTATTTATAATAATTATTTTGATAGAACGCCATCCCTATTATGTGTTGGTTTCATCCAACAAATTTACAATATAGCAAAATATAGGTTTTYAATAATCCATTTYAATATATTGTTTTAAAAGTTATAGTTTTATTTTATTATGCAATAAAAAAGTAAAATATTAATTTATATCATTTCTGAGACATATTGATATTTTAATTTTGAAGCATGTTTTGATCATTTTAAAACATACAAAAAAATAACAGTTTTAAAATGCCTCATAACTTGCTTTTTAATAAAAATTTCAATAAAAGTCTCTGAGATACCTTGCACCTTAACATTAAATTTTAATTTAAGTCAATTTTACTATTTTTTTTTAAAATTAACAGAACATAATGAATGATTATGAACATAAAATGAGCTATATTGTTAATTTGTGAGACACAGGTACAGCCTCTTAATTTATATATTTTAACAATTCCTTTATTTTTCAGGTCAAGGAACAAGAATACGAGTGTATGTCAACTGTATGTGGTCTGAACCATTGCCTGATACAACTGGCCGTTTTAGGGATTGTACCTCAGCTTTCTATCGGTAAAATTAAAAAAAAAAAATTTATTTTATTTTCTAAAAGTATGTCCTATCTGCATATGTTTTCTCTGTCTTACTAATGCTTAATATTACAAAATGTACACCCAGCAATTCCAATTTTGTGTTGTTAGCTTAAATATTGATTAGTGATTGATAGTGATTGACCTATTGTCGACATAATGTAAGAAAATATCCGTGTTCTCTTGTTGATTTTTTCAATATTTTAATTTTTAATTGTGTATTTAACTAATATTTTTTCTACCAATAATTCACATGAAAATTAAAAAATGGTAAAAAATCAACATGACAACAGATAATGTTCTCTTACATTTAAGTTTGATGATAGGTCAATTCGCTTTATAATAAATTTCTGTAAATGCCCTAAAATGTGCTATATAAAAACTATAAATGATTAAAATTACTTTTTTTTTGTAATTAAAATACTCTAAAAGTATTAATCTAGATCAGGGGTTGCCAACCTTCTATCAAGGGCCAAAAATAAATAAAAATTATTCTTTTAATTTGATACAATACATATTTGTATTCTTTCAGAGATAATCCAGCACAAACATATAGACTACATGGATTCATTCTTAGAGATGTGGTTGCAGTAAGGGAAACACTAAGATTAGACAGCCAGTTAGACATGCCAGTTCCAGTTAATATTGATGTTGCTGTGACAAATTTAATAATGCGATCACTTGTAATGTATGATATTAGACATTTACATTTGGTCGGAATCTTAAGCCCTTTTCTAGGTGGCCGTTCTGCACATTTTTGCCATGAACTATATAATTTTGCTAACAGTCCATATGACATAAATGGCTATGATCGCAATGTTCAATATACTCATCAACCATATGATCCTATTGTAATTATAAAATAAACCAACTATTACATATTATGAGTTATTGTTAAATATAAATGTATGTATATTTTTAGCGGGCAAATTTGGAACCATTTCAACCAATCCATGTTGTTGGTGAAACTATTGTATTAGATTCAGATAATGAAGATGTTATAAGGCCGCGTATAATGGACGTTATTGAACTTATTTCTAGTGGTGATGACTCCGATGTTGAATTTCTAAGTCATACCTTCCATCCTATAAATCCACTTGATTCTGCCTCTATTGACGAACCATCTACATCTACTGGAATTCGMGATTCATTAGATCGACCAAACAATAGGTAAGAAAATGTTATTTCAACAATTTTTTATATATTGTCTATATAAAGATATAATTGTATTATTTTTTTCAATTTTTTAGATATAATTTAAGGAGACGAAGAATATTCTCACCAACTATAAATGATTCTTCTAATTTTCAATCTTTCTATGATGGTTTACCTCGAATGTCATGTCCATCTCAAACAAGAGGAGGAAGGCCCATTTTAGATTCTTCATCAGATGATGATGAAGTATTAACTGCTACTCGAGATTCTCGAGCTGCTCATTTAAAATCTAGAAATGTTAATGACAAAAGGAAAAAAAAGACAAAGAAAAATAAAAAGAGAAAGAGAAAAATAAACACTAATGATTCGCGGTCTGAATCCCGCAGTACCAACAGAACTCGTTCATATTCAGGATCATCTTCATCTTCAGGAGAATTGGATGTCACGCCATTTAATAGTTTTATTCTACCTATATAATTCTATTTACTAATATTAATTTTTCAAGAAGAAAAATATTTTATTTGTCTGACTCAGGACCTAATAAAAGATCAACACAATGCCTGAAGTTTTTTTTATTGTTATCACTTCTCCTAAAAATCAGTAACTCATTTAATTCTGTTTTAGTTTTATTAAAAAAAATTGTCATACTWAAGATTTATGAGCAAAAAGTGATAAAATTAATTGTTGTTTAAATATTAAAATAACTTAACTTAAATGTATGTTAATTTATTATACATTATTGTAATTTATAATATATGCATTATGTCATTGCGATATGAATATAATTTTCAATCGAAGTAAACATAAATACACAATTTATGATTTTATTTTACTTTTTAAATTAAACAATGTATGTTTAAGTTTGTATGTCTGATGCCTTAAAATAAAAATAAATGTATGATAATCTTTAACTTATTATGTTATGTATAAAATAGATTTAATCCAAGTATTTTGTATGATAATATAAGACTATTTTCTATTTACAAAATATGGTACTTTTGTTCAAAAGCATTCATTTTACATATTATATTATAATATATTTTTTTATCGAATTTTAATTTAAAACATAGGTACTTACAATGATTATGTACTCAACACTTGCTATTCATACATCGCTGAGTAATTTGCAGACCAAATTTCTCCTGTTTTTTGTGATTTATTGTCATAGAATATCTATCAGGATTTATTCCTGTCAACTGAATCAAATAGTGTATGACTGAACTTATATAGTTTAACTGATAAGTGATTGTAGTATGTGAGATGTATCTATTTGGGGGATCTGTGTCCATTTTTACAGGGTGTAAATATTATAATATTATAATATAATTTTTGTGTGCAAATAATTATTTTTCCTGTTACTCATTTGTAGAAAATAAGTTCTAAAATACATTAGGTACTATTATTCAAGACTATATCTTGGAGGGATTCAAGGTCTATAAAACTTCAAAAAATAATTAATAAAAAACATTTAAAAGGATTTTGTTGTGTCATATTCCTAGTAAAAAAATACAAAATTATTTAATGACTATAATATCATGCATTAGTATTAATGTAGTGATATATTTATTTAGAAAACAAATTAAATAAATATAAATTTTAAGAGAAGATAAAAAGTCAATGTCTGATCACAATCGGTAGGTATAATATTGTATTGTAACATTAAATTTAAAAAAAAGCGGGTAAGTTGTGGATATTGCTCTGCTGTACAGTAGGTTACAAGTGTGTTACTGTAGTGGATGAAATTAAGTTTGAATCCAACGCTATTATAATATTGTATACGAAAAACGATTTTGAGCGGAGACGGTTTATCTGTCTAGGATATACATATTATAGATTGTTTATGTTAATAATACTGGTGCTGTGTTGGCAGCACTGGTATATTTTGTGTCAATTAATAATTTATGTTATACCTTTTTAGTTGTAGTCAGTAATGAATTCAATAATCAATTACCTTTGTGAAGTCATATATACAATTCAAATTAAATACAGTCCGCTTTATATATAGTTAACATAAATT